CGTTCTGTTTTGCGAGCAGAGGGGTATCGATCCGGGACGCGCTTGTAAGCATGCTCGCTGTTCGGCATGTTCAAGCACTGTTCGTCCATGTGCTGGATCGACGGCTCAAGACAAGTAAAGCTTATCCGATGACACTTGCAATCGAATGTCAAACACAGCTATTTCGATGTACAGTGTAGGCTGTGTGTAATTACTACTCGATTCCTAAGGTATATCTGATGTAGCACCTATAACCAAGAGCCCATCCACCGTCCAGCAACGCCGATTCAACGATAATTATATAAAAAAAGGCAAGTTTGAAGAAAGCTTGCTCCACCGGAGACTTCTAGTCACCCCCAACCTACCTAGTCCAGAACGCCTGGTTCTCTGTCTCTTTATTTGTTACTTGACTTCCTGTGCGGTGGGCTGTATAGGGTCATTGATTTCCATATCTAAGGGTTCGTTGTCCATCCATCCGGAAAAGTCATCATCATCTTCGTCTGCTGCTTGAGCGGCAGGTTTTGCCTCTATGGGACCGGCTGACTTTTCATCTTCTTGCACAAGTGACGATTCATTGGTGATCATTAGGGGAAGACGAGATGTTCCGCTATCAGTCACTGTCTGCTCATCACTTGAAGCCCACACTTGATGGTTTGAAGGGTCATCGCCCGATGGTGTAGCGGGCTGAGAGTCCTCTGGAGCGGCAACGACGAATACATTCTGTCCATTATCCGGCTCAGGTGCGTAGCTCTGTCTACGCCGTCCGCGAGAAGGTAAGGGAGGACGATGTTCGCCATGCTTCTCATGCTCGTGCTCATGCTCGTGCTCAGGATGATTTTCGTGGTGAGTCTCAAGAGACTCTATCGAATTGTGTCCAGGGACTGGCTTCCTCGTAGGAACACTCGTCGGGGGTGCTATCCGCGTCATGCCATTTGTAGGCTTGGGGAGAGGTGTTCCTGGAGGAGGTAGCGGCTGGCCTCTTCCCATGGGCTGGCTGAGATCAAGATGACTTGCTTGCTCTGCCTGTTTTCGTGCTTCCTTGTGTCGTTGATAAGCGTTCCAGCCCCATTGCTTGGCTTGCAATGCTGCATTTGAAACAGCCGCCAGCGTGGTCTGTCTGTGGAGTGTGTTATTCTGATGATCTCGAGAAGTTTCACTGTCGTCCGTTTCCTCCTCCACCTGAACAGGTACCTCTGGATGCTCACGGCGTGTAAAGAAACTCCTTCCCAGTGACCCTGTCTGACTCTTGATGGACTCTTTCAAGGAGGCAGCAGAGGAACCTGGTCTTTCATCGGTGTGAGATGAACCAGTGGATGAGGTCGTGTTACGGCGGCCCATGGCAACTGGAGTCTTCTGAGTGTCTTCCGGTACATTGTTGTTGAGGGCGTCATTTGCTGATGACGAAGATCGCGAAGACCGAGTTGACCGTTGGGAGGCAGACGATGATTCCAAAGGCGCATCTGATGTCTGGGGGGGCTTGGGGGAAGCGTCGTGTGAGCGAGAGTGCAGAGCCGCCATATAATTAGTAGCATGATCAGGGGGCGATGTCGATGGCTTGAAAATATCAGCGTGAGCGGCATCAGTGCCCACGATAGGCTGTAGGGACGTCTTGGAGATCTTGGGCTTTAATACTGGGCTCGCACCCGGCCCCTTAGAGTCGACACTGGTTGATGAAGCAGAAGCAGAGACAGAAGCTTGAGGGTTGGTGCCCGTCCTGCTAAGTCTGCGCCCGAAGAGACCCGTTGGCGGCGGCGTTGCTTCCATGACTGGTACTGTATGGCTCTTTTCCAGAGGTTTCGTCTCCTCTGTCAAATCCGGGCTTCCATCAAGATGGCTGACAGCTGCGACATCTCCTGCTGCAGCAACTATACTTTCAGCATCATTAGTGGGAACCGTGGCGTCATCTCCTTCAAAGATACCGCCTCGCCACTGTTTGTGCTCCGTCTTGAAGAAGGGCATATCGTCCCAGAACGGCAATACGACTGTTTCTGCGATGACTTCCTTTATACGGTTCTCAATCTGTCGAAGAATGACGGTATAAGTGATTTGTCTCGCACTAACGATGGGTTCGATATCCATTTCCATCTTGGGCATGCTCTGAAAAGTTACCCAAACTCGGTTGCTTGGTGGCGGTTTGATCTTGAACAGCATATGACCCTCAGCTCTCTTGAGAACAGCTGCAAGGACAAGGTTGACTTCGCGTGCTTTGAATCTGGCGCCCAGATCGATCTTTGCTGTGGCAGCGATTTCAATACGAGCGTTTCCTGAGTATTTTACGTCGGCTTCAACGACGCATTCTCCCTCAACTGTAAGATCTTTGAGTTTGAAGTTCGTAAAGTAAGGTGCTGCCGAGCCAGTGTCAATTCCATTGAGGGTAATGTGAGTAAGAAATGAAGGTCGTTTAACGCGAGAGATCTTTTTGGTGAGCTTTTCGCGGATGAAAGCCTCGATATCCTTGGTCTGGTTGACTCCTAGAAAGACTCTCCCAAGCAATGCATTCAACCATCTCGAATGGATGTTCTCTTCCGTAGAGTGAAGCTTCTGGACCAGTGAGATGATATTCTTAACATCGAAATGCAAAGGCTTCGGCACTTGGCCATCGACCCCAAAACTCTGCTCTTGGTTTTTGAGCAGGGCAAAATAGAAATCCTCTTTTGCTGAACAGTTTTCAGAGAATAGGAAGAAAGGCTTAGAAACAGGGCTGTCAGAAGTCAGTTCGGCACCAGCCTGTTTTCGGGACAGTCGGATCGCATTTCGCTTGATGAAGAGTTCGCCTTCAGGAGTGACATCGCCGCCTGAGTAGATGCTGATTTCGTGATATGCCAGGGAAACAACATGTCGAACTTCAACCTGCTCTTCGTCGTCGAACAACATAAGATGGCCATGCCTGGACAAAGGTCAGCAAAGGGATGTGGGGTATGGATAAATAAGCTGCACAAACCTCAACACCACATAGAAAACGTTGCCCGCATTCTTGGGCCGTTGACTCGTACTGTTACTATTGTTGTCTAGAGGTCCGGGTGTGGGCTTCCTCTCGAATATGCTCCGGTACATGGTCTGATAGACACTGGGACTCGAAGGAGCCACGGTCGTAGATCCCACGGGTGTTGACCGTTCGATAGGCTTCGCATTGATGCCCATAGGCGTGTACTCTCTGCACACAGCGAAGAAGCCGGCGGCTACATCGAGGTCGTTTTCGTGCGCGCGGTTGTCCTTCTTGTGCGACCGCTTAGCGGCCTCGAGGGCGGTTGTATCATCGTCCTTGTCGACGATGGGGCTGTATTTCGGTTCGTTGGCGGTGTCGTCGACGACGGGAGAGGTATAGAATATGAACGCCAGCACAGACACTATCACCAGCGGTATAAAGGTCAGACCGCCGAGGACGTATGCTATAAGAAGGGACTTGAAGCTGGTCATGGCTCCGAATTCCGGAGCCACAAAGGCTCTCTCAAGGGAGCTTTGTGCGCAGGAGGGGCACTATAGTACACCCTAGACTATAGCTAGAGGATACAGCGAGAAGAACGCATCGGATGGAGTGGAAAAGAACAGGGTCGATCAGGTACTGAAGGGAGAAAAAAGTAGTTGACGATGTGAGATCTTGGTTGGGGGAGACGGAATGATTATACGCGGAGTTAGTTGATAGGCTGGCACTTTCAAGTGAGTGTATGTATGTAAGTGACACCGCTAGAGGCTAGAGGTACGTACCTCGAGCCTACATACCTACGTCATGTGATGAATCCACTGGCTGACAGGCCTCCCCCGCCGTTGACGACTAGAACAAGGTACCTTACTAGATATTCCATAGAGACAACGGCAAAATAATGAAGGACCTTCAGCGGGTCTCATTGGAAAATACAGAGAATCAGTCACTGATATTCTCATGACCAGGAAGTAAATAAATATCTGAAGCCCCGTACATCGTGAAAGGTGCTGTGTTCTGACGTACAATATACTTGATTTGGCCCTAGATGATCGCCGTAGAAGCACTAATTCTTCGATGGGAATGGGCTGAAATACGTACAGTATCGCACTAACAACCGTCAAAGTCGAGGCCGTTTCTACTGGGGCCTGAAACTCAAATCCAGTGGAGGCAGGCATCACAAGATCTCTCATCTCATGTCTCTTGTCTCTGGGTGGAGGCCACATATGACCACTATCAACTGAAATCTGTCCTCGGCGTCGGTTAACAAGTGCAAACAGCCCATATTCTCAACATTTTATGGCTTGAATGACAACGTTGAGCTTTCTAGAGCCACTAAATGAGTCACTTGCTTTCAAAGTCATTACAAGTCGAAAGGAAGAGTACTACAGTAGTCAAGCAAACCTCACAACGTCAACATCAATCAGTCTAATACGAAAATCTCATTCAGTCATCAATACCCCTCGCCTAGAAACTCTCCAAGCACATCGCGTCTATACGCAAGCTCCTTCTTCTCTTTTGACCACAGCCTCGAGAACATTACATGAATCAATACTTCTCAGGTGAGCTACGCTATACTAGACAACACCTGGACAGTAAACAAGACAAAAAACTCCTGTAGGTCCGTTCCCAGCTTCCCATGCGCTGATCCCATTGAGAGAGGTCTGCTCAAACAAATAATGTGTTGGCTAGAATGCAGTGTGGTGTGGTGTGGTGTGTTGATGTTGTTTTTGGTGTTTTCCAGCCTCCGTCGATACTAAACTCGATCGGCAGACCTTATTGTGGTTGGGTGGTGATTGGCTGGCTGCAATAGCGTTTGCATACAGTATGATAAGAAATAAAGACAAAGTAGGAAAGGTTTGACAGGTCGTAGCCGGTGCTTGGCTGTAGTAAGGTGATTATAGTCTTTTGGTCGCAGTGCTCCTGGGTTCATTGTCAAGGACGCGCAGCAGAAAAGTCAAGAAAATCATAAGTCTCGTGAAAGTCCGTGAAGGATGCCGATCATAACAGTTGGTGTTCGCCATACAACAACAGTGTATTGCTCGAAATGGTGTTCTACAGGTAATGGAATAGATGTGTAGGTGAATGAGTCTGCATGTGCTTAAACTCGAGAGCGTAGAGAAGACATAGTAGTATGAGAGTGTGTAAGTCCTGGGTGAGAGTGCGTGTGAGTGCTGTTGCCATGACGGCCTCGCTTGGAGAATTGGTGGAGAGTTCCGACATCATGTTTGCCTGGAGCACTGTTAGTATATGTACTCTCGTTCTTCCTACCACTTGAACTTACCATCGCAGCATGCTCGGACATTCTCGAGACGGTCAGCTTCCCTATCCTGCCTCTCGATGATCTCCCTCACATCCTCGGCGCTATCGTGGGCCTCGCTGGCTTCATAAATGTTAACGTTATGGGCACTACCACGGCCGCGGCGACTTGTGAGCGTGCCAGACAGCTGGCTTCCCTTCCAATAGCCACTCAATTTGCTCAGCGTTCCAGTGGGGCGCTGTGGCTGAGCCTTGGGTGTCAGAGTTGGAATGTTCATAGACATACCAACGGCAGGCGACTCATTACGGGTTGTTCGAGAGTTATAAGACGATAGAGAGGGGGGTGCTCCAGGTCGTGTCCCGTTAGCCGCACGCTGCCCAAACTGGGGGTTGAATTCATCAACATCCTCTCGAGTGAAGTTCTCCGCCATGTCCTCGACATTAGCTTGTTCATTGTTGGTGCGAAGAAGCAGGTACGAAAGAGAGTTAAACCAGGTCTCGTGTCGTTGTCCGGTTGCGCAAGTGAACTTGATGGTTCGGCCAGGAGAGATGATGACCAAGCTCTTACGATGGAGTCCAGGAGGACTGGGGTTATCGTCAGTAACGACACGCACAGCCTCGATAGGAACACTCTTGGCCTTGAGCTCAGTGCGACCGGCAGTTGAGGGGTCTCGGTCGCTCCAGTAAAGAGTCCTGGTGTAAGGGTGAACCCAGAAGTAGCGGCGATGTCGATTCTCCGACATCTCTCCACGACCTGTCTTGCGAGTGTACTTCCACAGATACTCACCGATCATGGTCTGGGTGATAGCCTGGATCATGCGGGGATCAGTGTTGGGTCCGAAGCCGGAGGGATCCATGCCCATCTCGCCAGGGCGCATGTTAAATCGAGTGTCAAGCTCTGAAGCGAACGAGGATACAGAGGACTTCCTAGATGCCGCTGTATGCTTCGATGGCGATTGTCTTCCGAGCTCACCGTAGCTGACAGGGTTTCGAACAGTACGCTGGGTGGGCGTGGCCCGAGCGGTGGACGCTGGTGAGGCGGGCCTGTTTCCTGGGGTGATTGGCCTTTGCTTAAGTGCCGAAGCAGGCCAAAGAGGTGGTCCCATGTTGTTCTGAGGACCGTGAGACGAGTTGGATCGCGCAGCCTCGATGACTTGGCGGTGGTTCGCAGGCAGAGGAGGAGCATCTTGGATTGATGCTCGGCCACTTCTGGAGCTTCCAGGACGACGGATAGGGCTGGTGTTGAAGACATCGTCGGTGTCGCGTTCGTGCTGGCTTGGAGTCTCAAACATCTCCTGTGATCGGCGAATTCGAACCGTGCCGGAGGTGCCAGTGGTTCCAGGAGTTCCAATGCTGGCCATCGACAGGCTCTTTTGATGGCTGAAGGCAGACTGAGCACGAGCCTTGAACATGGCGTCAATCACATCAGCTGTGAGAGATGTCTGCGCACCCTGGTCGTTCATAATAACTACAGGCTTATCGAAAGGCCGCTCCGAGTCCGGAGTGGCAGGCTCAGGAGTATCGCTAGGAGATTGGCCGTTCTCATCCTCGACCATGAGAGGCGATGACCCTTGATCAATGCCGCGCTGGTTCTCAGGTGTTCTGGGCACATCCTGCTCCATGAAAGGTGACTTCATATCGCGGGGCAGGATGAATCCGTCTCTCTTGGGGGTTCGTGGAGAGACAGGGAAGGTTTCGACAGACTCGATGTTGGAGAATGCAAACGCAGGCAGCGTGGGTGTCTTGTAGACAGGACTAATAGGCTCGACCCCTTCTGTCGCAATATCGGACATTACGAGAGCAGGAGGCAGAGGAAGAGGCTCATCAACAGGCTTGACGTTCTCAGAGGTGATACCAGACAAGGCCAGAGATGGGGCAGGCTCAGATACAGGCTCAACATTCTGTGTAGACAGACCAGAAAACACGAGGGTAGTGGGGGTGGGACGAAGCTCCTCACGAGGTTCACATCCCTCGGCATAGATGGAAGACAGGTTGAGGGATGGCTTGGGAACCACCTTCTCTGGCTCGCTGATGGGCTCAACTGATTGAACAGCAATGGAAGAGAGAGCCAGATCAGGGGCAGGTAGATCTGTGGGCTCGACATATTCTCGCTGGATCGCAGAGATAGTCAGCTCAGGAGCCGACTCGATAACTGGCTCGACTTGTTCACCATGAATGGTTGAGATGGTGAGTTCAGGGATGACAGGCACGGGTAACGGCTCAGCGATAGGCTCGACCACCTCACCCACCATGTTAGACATAGCAAGCTCGGGTGCCTTGCTAGCGACAGGCTCGACGTTCTCTCCCTGGATAGCAGAGAAGCTCAGAGTGGGAGCTGGAGGCAGAGAAGGAGCGACAACAGCAGGGATAACAGCCTCGGGCAGAGGTTCCGCAACTGGCGCAACATGCTCGCTTCGAATGGTGGACATAAGAAGCACAGGAGCAGGAACAACAGGCTCAGAAATGGGCTCAATGTTCTCTCCCCTAATGCTAGAGATGCTAAGCTCGGGGTTCTTGTGGGCGATAGGCTCAACGTGCTCGCCAATGATAGAGGACATGGACAGAGCCGGAGGTGGTGGCATGAACATGACAGGCTCCACAGGTGGTTCGGCAATCGGATCAATCATCTCAGCTGAGATGGAGGAGAGACTCAGGGCTGGAGCTGGAATCTCAGGCTCTGCGATAGGCTCAACCTGCTCATTGACAATAGTAGTCATGGACAGATCAGCCAGAGGCACCTCAGGCTCGGCCTTGGGCTCGAGGCTATGAGCCATAATGCCAGACAAGCTGAGAGCTGGGGGCAGGACGACGGGCTCAGCGCGAGGCTCAAGCTCTTGAGAAATGATCGAGGTCATTGTCAGGTCAGGAACAGGGCTCCCGGACTCAGGCACAGGCTCAACACTCTGGTTAGAAAGAGCTGTGAAAGTCAATGCTGGAGGAGTTGGAACCACTTCAGGCTCCAAAACGGGCTCAACCTCCTCAGATGCGATTGAGGACATAGTCAAGTTGGGGGGCAGGATGGGTAGCATAGATGGAGGAGCTGGGAATAGAGCCAAGTTCTTCTCCATGTCGGGGTCATGCTGAGCACCAGCGTCACTGTAGACCATAGAAATTGGCCTAGAGTCAGCAAGACTGTCATATGCCCAGGAGGGAATACGACGATCACGATCGCCAGATGGTCCAATTGACGAATGCATGGAAGCACGTCGGATCGCTGCCACGACACTAACAGGTGACTCGGCGAAGTGTTCATCTCCATCGTCCGTCATGGCACCAGTGGTAGACATCTGTGACGTCCCAAGGCCAGAAAGTCTGGGAACGATCTTAACAGGCTCAGTCATCATACCACTGTCAACCATGATGACCTTGGGCATGGGAGGCACTGCAGGTCGTGGTGATGATCCCCGGCGAATAGAACCAGGAGTCATAGAGCGAGCACGCATGCGACTGGGTGTGCCAGGGCCGGCTGAATCGTCGTCACTACCGCCGAAATCTTGCAGCTCGGCAAACAAGCTCTGTCCTCCGGCTTGGGGTGTTCCCTCTCTACTGCTGGCAAAGCTGACGGGGCTGCTTTGGAAGGTAGGCTCCTCGCTGACTTGTCTGGAGCGGTTGAAAATGCTACGGCTCATACGGAAACGGCTGCTTCTCTGGGAACCAATAGTGCCAGTTGGCGTCTTGGTGTATGAGTAGTCGTCCTCGTCGCCAGAAGTCGATGCAGTGCTATGCAGTGAATTGCTGCTTGCATGACGAGCGAAACCGGCGGGAAGTCGTGGAGCATTCTTCATGCTACCGAAGCCTCGGGTCGTACCCTCAGTCTCGGTATCATCGCTACCTGACATTTCCTCGGCCCCGGTTTGGAAGTCCTCAGTTTCGGTACCACGCTCGTTGGCGGTCTCAAATGCAGACTCGCCACCTTCGTTAGCGGTTTCGAACTGCTCAGTATCCGTTATGTGAGAGGTCTCAATACTGGGGAGAATAGTCTGGGTGCTGTTGCTGAGAGAAGACCTGGAGATCATTGGAGAGACCGAGGCGCGAGGAGAAACATCATGTTGGTCTTCCCACTCGCCATCGTCGGTGATAACCTCTTGTCTGCTGGAGCGGAACGATCCAAGCAAACGGGGAGGCTTCTTGAATTCCTTAGATTCCTTGACACGAGACTTTCGGTGGGGCTTATGTTCACCCGCATCGCTTCGTGCTTTCTCGAGATCATCGCGAAGATCCTGAATAATACGTCGAAGCTCAAGCTTTTCGGTCTTCTCACGGTGGAGCAGACCTCGTTGACTCTGGATGGTTCGCTGAGCATGGGAAAGAGATGACTTCATAGTCTCGGTCTCAAGCATGGCATGGCGGGGAGTCCCCTTGATAGGGGACACTGGCGGCGAATGCTCGGGAGTGAGATGGTCGGCGGACGATTCGAGATCGTCGTCGCTGGCCCGGATGGTGGGCTCCAGTTCTGTGACGGTGCGTCGCTGAGATGCGAAGGCCCTGGCGAGCTCTTGGTTCTGTCCAGTAAGGTCATCAATTCGGCGTTGCATAGCAGCACGCTCGCCCTCTGCCATGGCAATATTGCGCTTGACAGTACCAAGCTCGATATCGTGTTGCTTGACGGCGGCAGCATGTTGGTCGATCAATCGTGCGTGGTGCACCTTGACCTCATCAAGTTCTCGCTGAATAGTCACTTTTTCCGTCTTGATGACATTGAGAGTCTGAGTGAGTTTCTTCTCACGATCCAAAGCTTCCTTGTGTTGAGCAGTGAGCTCTTGCAACTTGGTCTCAAGATTCCAGTTCTCCTCCTTATATCGATTCTCGCTCTCATCGAGGGATTTGAAGCGTTGCTGAAAACCCTCTGCTTCAAGCTCGAGTCGTGCCTTTTCGGCTTTGAGGTCCTTATTCTCCTCGTCTCGCTCGGCGAGCACACCTTGCAGATTGCGAACTTGCGCGATGAGAGAAGTACTAATTTCGGCGGCGAACTCGATATCGTGAACTCGGTTTGAGGGCTGGTTGCGAATCTTGCGATTAGGCACGGTCAACTTCGTAGGTGACCCTGTTGCTTGGCTCTCGAACTTGGAAGGGCTAACAGATCGCTGGAAGTAATGTTAGTTAACTGCAAAAATGGTATACTGCTAGGAATGCGAAAGCGACATACTCTACCGCCCTTGTTCTCGGGCGCGAAAGGTGAATTGGGGTTGACTTCATTGCTGGGAACTCTTTGCTTGGGCAACAAGTTCCGGGCGGACTCTCGAGTTAATGTGTTAAAGTCCTTCTCAATGCCAACCATTCGCTCACGAAGCTCTTGTGACAGTTCTTCCTCGCTGTTCACCTTCTCAATCTCCTTAAGTTGCTCGGTGAGTTGCTTGCGCTGGAGAACCAAGGCATTACCCAGTTTTCCCGCCTCCTCAAGGCGACGCTCGGTCTCTTGCAAATGAGCAGCGAGCGCTCGCTTCGCGGATTCTGGGGAAGCAGGCCCGGTCACGAAAAAATCATGATCGTAGTTCGAATATCGGTGCTGAGCCGGCACGGGCGCGGGCGCAGGCGGTGTTGTTGTGATAAAAGGGTCGTATTGCGCTGCGCCGGGAGCGGGCAAGCTTGGCTTGTCGGAAGCCAGTGAAGAAGCCATGATTTCAGAGCAAAAGTGGCCCTCTTCGGAAGAGGGCAAGGAAAACTTCCTCAATCACGCCTTGAAACCATCAAGATACGCAGACGGACGACGTAACAGGCCCGTCGCAGGGGTGGTGGCTCTGTGCTTGTGGTGTGTTGAGAGTTTTGAACGTGTTGTGCTGGCTAAATGAAGCTGGGTCGTGTTTGTTGTTGAAAGACGGGGTACAGCACCTGTTAAAGTACCGGTACCGTAATAGATTAGACAGACCAGTCAGATTGCAGCAATGCCACCTGCAGGGAGAGTGCGTAAGATTGGGGCTAAGGTGCTGTGCTGTAAGAGAGCAGACCCGGCTGCGAGAAAAAATAGAAACAATTCCCACAGAAAAAAACAAAAGAAGTTATTATGGAAGAAAGTAGTGCAAGTGAAAGTGAAGGCGATTAGAACAGTAACAAAACAAAACAAAACAAAAAAGGAGCTTTCAGTAGTAAAGAGAGAGTTCAAAGAATGAGTGTAATGCAGCGCAAACGTAAGGAACCTCGAAATGTCGGTCGGTCGTCGAGAGAAAATGCGATTGGAAGTGCCCAGATTTGCGGGTGAGAGTGTGTCTAATTATTGACACACTGGTCGAATAGCGAATGGGCGCCAGCGATTCTCCTTAGTCAGGTACCGCAAAGCACACAAGCGCACAACGCACAAGCAAAGCAGAGCAAAAGCACAGGCAGGCAGACTGCACGACACACACAGTGGGTTGTACTGAGACCAAGACCAGTAATTAGTGGGAATTTATCCCTGTTGACTCTGGTTCAAGCGTCGCACCTCTGGCAGAGGCAGACCAAGGCAGTTGTGGTATTTGGAGAGCTTCTGGTGCTGGTTCCTGGAATGTTTTCTCGACGACTTATGCGACAGCGATCTTATTGCTCATTCCCGAGTGGAATTGGCAACTCGAAGGATCTCCAACGGCCGAAAACGCTCGTTACCGCTCAAGGGGCGCTCTGTCACCAATGCAACCAAGCCAACGGCGACAAAGGAGGCGCAGACAGAGTTTCCCAGCAGTGACGTGGGCGTTTGTTGAGATTTGAGGCGAAAAAGAAAGGACGACGAAAAAAGAAGATGAGTCCAGACTCGAGAGAGCGCGCGCGACAATGAGAGATGTTGATAATTATTAGGGTGCGCGCTGGTACCTGACCTTCAGGTGGAGTCTGCTCCGGCGACAAAGTCTCTTTTCAATTCCAGAGTGGACTGGGGTGGATCGACTGATTTCAAGGGCGGCCGGTCGGTGACGTTTGAGGTTCTTCGCTAGGAATTGGGATGTCGCCCTTGTAGAAGGGTCCGAGGTTGGCTGAAATACAAAGCAGTACCTAGGAAAAGGAATTATGCAGATGCACTAGTGATTGAGATGTCCGTCCGTCGCAGTGAAGAACTGAGGAGCAAGGCAAGACAAGAACTGCTAAGGAGCAAGTTCTCTCAAAAGAGTCGCGCCGAAGTCGATTGCCCTTTAGAAAAAGAATAATGAATGGATGGCCCCGTGACGGTGACCTAAAAGGCAGGACAGTATCGAAAGGGGGACGACGATGCCGAGTGATTGGTAGAGGGCATCCAAGACTGAGGTCAAGTAAACGCGCCGTCTGTTTTCCCTTTGTTTCCGCTCCGTTTCCTTCGGGGCTATCGCCTATCGCCCGTCGGTATCGATTGGTTTTGCTGTTGGGTTAGTATTACGAGTATGAGGAGAAAGAAAAAGAGAGAGAGAGGTCGTAGACGGAAAAAAGAGAAGAGGGATTGGCGTTACTTTTGTGAAAAAGTATTTGAGGATACGGTCAGGCAAGGAGAATGGAGTATCGACGGGGGAACAGCTGCTAGCTCAGGCCAGGTCCAGGGTGAAGCGAGAAGTGAAGTGAAGCTGAGCACTCTGATTCCTGCTCTTTCTTCTTTTTTTCGGGTCTGTCTACCAACTAACTTCACTCAATGACGGGGTTTAAACAAGGAACAGGCTCCAGTTTGCAGGCTGTGCGTTCATGGGAATCTAAGCAGCCTGGGCTATCTAGAGTGAATTCCTCTGTAAAATGCCCGAATGTTGCTATTCCTAGCTGTCTAGGTATGGAGTACCAGCAATGGATTGGATGACTTGTGGTATACAAGCCCTGGTTGCTTTAGCGGTCCTGCACGGTACCTGATGATTTCCGCTGTTTTGCCCCTGCGTTGCTAGTACCTGCGTCGAGCTGCACTGCTGGCTACCGAGATGTACATGGACAAGGGACATGACCTGCTGACTGCACTACAGATTCCTCTCCTCTCAAGTCTTGACTCTTGGGCAGCGGGCTCCTCTGTTTGGAGTATCAATGACTGGGATGAACGTGGAGTCTAGTGGAACGTGGAGAGTGGGACGGCCGTGAAAGACACCGCATTATTGATAGCTAAAGTACCTAGAGTAGTAGCTAAAAGCTCACTTGTCTCTGGATGATACATAGCTCGATCTGCTAGTCAGGCTGAGCTACTCAGTCGTTGTTTGTTTTGTTCCGATCATGTTTACTCAACGCATTGTTTGCCTCGATCACCGATGTTGCTTTGCTTCCATCTTATCAGCTTGGTTGCGTAAAGTATCGTACCCAATTCTGCGCCTGAAATTCCATAGCAAGGACCCTCGACAGGTCTGTGTTCCAGCTTCGAGAAGGGGTCAGACAAGGATATGCTTATTGGCTACGTAACGAGCGGGATTGATTTACAATGCTACTGTAGGCTACCCGCTATGCTCATCCCAGCTTTAATTCTTTTGCTGTCAAGCGTGAGTGGACGAATGAAAAGATTATCTTCATCTACAACCAGCCAATGTACTATACGTTTCGATATCGATATAAACATTTGCACTCTGCATGCGGCTTAGAAACTTCAACACCAGCCATGATAGGCCAGTAGCATCGACTTGAGGCGTTCATCAAGGCTTTTCATCATCGTAAAAGAGCTGCCACACTTTTTTTAGTCGCCGTTAGGCAAACGCCTCACGCCAAAGAGTGAAGACTGAGCTTCCAGCCCGTCCATCGAAGAATTCAATGCCGCTAGCAGAACTGCCAACTCATCAGCACGAGCCAAAATCTTGAGTGATCATCCGTTGTTGGAAGTCAATTGTAGGCATTTTCCTTGTTTACTCAACATATCTCTGTAGCAATGAGCTCGAGATGCATTGCTACTCTCGAGGTGTCATCTGGAGCAAAGCTGCGGGGTTTATGCAAACGATAGTGATGGGTAGGGCATGATTAGCCTGCATGTGCATGCAGTAGCGGTTGTGAAGCTCGAGGAGAGTAGCCTAGAATGGTTGAAAACAAACAAACAACATGGCGCGATTCGTGATATTGACTTTGGGTGACTTCTGAAAAGTCAACAACACGACACCATCACCAACCACCACCAGGAATTGATTATCTGGTATCACATGCCGTCATCGCATCATCAACAAGATGCGCACAAAAACCGAAAATCCAATAAGCGCCCAGATTCACTCCAACGGTCCGCATAAACACCCTCATTCATCTCATTTCTCTGCCAAGGTTGTCCTTGACCAGGGTCTCTCCTCGGCCAATTACGCTTAGCTGCCAAACCTTGTTAGTTAGCGGAGACGATTGAGTAACTAATTGGCCTTGCAAACTTTCACTTTTGCCCTCTCTAGCCTCTGCTCTGTCGGCTGCTTTCCCCAACAGATGAGATGTGATGCGATGTGATGTGATGCTTGATCAGATCTGGAGTTGGAGCTGCCCGCGATCGATCCAGACCGTGTCCAAAAATAAAATAGTGAGCAAAAACTAAAAGAAGGTTTTCTTTTGCCTGCATTGGATCATTCTGTCTATGCAATTCTCAGCTCCGTTTGGCTAATACGAGTCTACGACATGCATTGGTCTTGAGCTATCGTTTGGCGTCTTGGCCAATTGCAGCTCTGTGGGCAACTCCTCTACAGACACGTCAGAACTAAGCCTCACATCTCAATATCGCTTCCATGCACTGCTTTGACGATGGCCTCTGCTGGTGAATTATACCTCGGTTCATGTATCCTGCGGGGGAAAGGGGTTTCCGCTGCAAGAGAGGTCATCGTTGGACAATGGAGAGAGAGTTCTCTACGTGTCATTTATGTTTCTGTGACAATGTATTGAGGTAGCATCTGTCGCGTCAAACGAAGCAACAACAAACACTACGGCAGTTATTCTCGTATTGGTGACTACCTATGTATCTAGTAGCCAAACAGCGATGGGTCACAATGCTTAGAGAACTCCAATTTGTTTGCCTCAATTCTCTTCAATCTTCAATTCAAGGAGTGACCTTAGGTTTCTGAGCTTCATATTCATGGATACAGGGTAGCAACTTCGACATGGTCGTCGACCCCTCCCTATCAGCACAGAGAATCACACAACCCATTTAGGCTCTCAGAAGGATTACAAGTCGTACAATAACTCGGAGTAAAAACTGTCTCTTGGTCACAGGGTTTCCCATGGGTGGTTAGGTAGGTATTTGCACTCACTGAGGCTGTCCATGACTTCGTCCGAAAATCAGGGTCCAAGTGCCATAAACTCTAGGTCTGTGCAAATACCCTACCTATAGGGTGTAGTTTTTTGTTGATAGACGATCATGCAATATTCCCTAGGTTGAAGTTGAATTAGGTACCCTGAAATTCACTTCCTCTTCACACACCCTGCAAAGCACAAGGTAGATCATCAATCTCGACATGCTCAGCCAGAGATATCGTCAATGTCAACTCTAATGATATTATGCCACCTATTTAATGCTTCAAGCGTAATCTAATGCTATATAAACGACGCCAGCCGGAACTCCCATCACCCTGGACATGAGACAAACAAAACACATCAGCGTCAGTTATGTGCTGGCAACTCAGCAGGCCCATTGGAGCTCTGCAACGGAGTCCCAGATAGCTCTTGCGGATGTGGAGGTTGATACTGATAGCCTTTCGAAGTATACACATACTGAGATTGTTGCCAAGCATCCGTCATCGTGTTGTTATTCGAAGGTGGTTGCTGCTCGCCCTGTTTGGCAGCCTTTTCGTTTCTGCGCATCTTCCAAAAGAGATATGCAACAGCCACAGCCATGATAGCTCCGACACCAACACCAGCCCCAATTCCGGCCTTTGCACCGGTGGAAAGCCCTGCGGGTGCTTCGGATGGCTCCGGGGTATCCGACACAGAACTGGACGGTATAGTTGTGTCGCTTGTCGTGGTGGAAGAAGAAGAAGAAGAAGCTGATGCCGTAGAAGACGTGACGTCCGTTGTTGCCGATGCGGTTTCGGTCGTAGACTGCCCACTAAACATTGTACCAACAACGTCATATCGAGTCGCCTTTCGGTTCCATGTCGCCCAAACTTCGGGGTCAGATGGGAGTACATTGAATCTGCCGACGCCGCTGTTGCAACAGTTGGTGTTGTGGTCACAGCAATAAGATGTGTCACTGTTTGTAACGTTAGAGCACGAGATCAGGTCAGTCCCTCCTGTGTCAGCACCTAGGAAGAGTAAGTATGAATGTGCGATATATTTTGTATGATCGTCACCAACCCAGGCAGAACATTGCACACTCAGGCGAATTCCAATTCTTATCCGTACATGAACCTCGCACGGTATTTCCATTGCCCCCTATACATAATTTGTTCGACAGGCATACTGTCCCTAGGCCTCCAGAACAACAGACGCTCTCCTTTGCATTGGGATCACAAGGATGGTCTTCGGCTTCGAGGCCGTTGGGATAGTAACACTTGTTGGCGGCGAAACACAATTGCGAGAAGGAAAGAAATAGGAGAGAAAGGATGAACGTCTTCATCTCGATAGTTGACCTGCACAACAGCACAGAGAAGTGTGCGTACCACGAAGGGAAAAGAAGCACAGAGTTTCGAGGGAAAGCTGAGTAGAAAAGACGGGGAGGAAGCTGAAGAGCGACCCAACAGACTAGAGATTAGACTCATGCAACAATTCGTCTTTGGAACTGTTGGTTGTACCAACCTTGGCAGTACCAGGGCATGTATGAGAAGCTGCACGAAGCCGTTGGTCCAAGAACCATGTGCTATACAGAAATAGACGCTCGCTGGCCGAGCCAGCAGTTATCGTCCCAAGGGATTGTCCCGGCCATCGCTTGGTTTTGGGGACATCTCTAACGAGGGCTGAAGCTGCGTTGGTTGTAGATTCCACATGAGACCATATCGTGAACTCTTACTGGTGTGTTGGTTGAAGACTGTTGTGGTTAAATGGTTTCCTATACCGGGCGGTAAGAGAGGATCGATAATTGGCTGTAAGAAGCTGCATCCCGACACGGCCGGAGACTCGGCCCCACACCGATTCAGGGGTCCGTCAGTCGCCGCGGTTAATGCGACAGGGCTGAAATTATCTTATTGTAATTCTGCCCGAAGCTGATCGCATTCTGTCGCTTCAATTCCCTTCAACTCATTATAGTCGGTCTGGCCACGATGTTGTCACCGGCTTTTGCGCCCCGAAAGTATGTCTACACTGCCTCAATAGCCGTCGTGATAGTCATCTTTTTGATTGTCAACTATGCATATAGTGGCAGGATAAGACGTTAGTTGTTCGCAAACCCTGAGCTTGGATTGCTTGCTAATACACACGATAGCAAGTAGCTTGCCTGAAGAGAATCCATTGCCTACGGCTCCTGTCACTCTGCAACAGGAGCCTTTTCCACATAAGATATGGCAAAGCTGGAAAGATGACTCGGAAGATCCGACTGATAGAACGGTTGGATTTCCACACCAATGGCGTGTAGTCAATCCTGATTGGCGGTATGAACGCATTACTGATGCCAACAACGACGCTTATGTTCGCGATCGATTTGATGCCAACATATCAGACGTCTTCACAAACCTACAGGACCCAATCCTCAAAGCAGATTTCTTGAGGTACCTGATACTGCTGTACGAGGGTGGTGTATGGGCTGATATCGACGTATATCCCCATCAGCCAGTATCGAAATGGATCCCGAAACAGTTTCAAGGCTCAGTGAATCTGGTCGTTGGGATAGAGAATGACCATCACAAACAGCCCATCTGGCCTGGCTCCCCATACTCTGTGCAGCTATGCCAATATTCGGTGTTGGCCAAGCCAAATCATCCTGCCATCAAGACACTTGTGAACCAAGTGGCAGAGGATCTCAAGAAACTTCTGGGGACCAAACAGCCCGGGGAGGCAGTTTCTTTTGAAGATGTCATGTCCACTACCGGACCTTTTGCTTTCACAAAAGTTCTCATGGACTATTTCAAGGAGTCCACGGGTGTGGAACATATCGGGAATGAGCTAGATAGACTTGAAGAACCTCGATTGATTGGCGATGTGCTTGTCCTTCCAAAGGATAGCTTTGGGTGGTTGCCCCAAGAACACACTCATGATAAAGGAGATCCGATTATCCTTGTTGAGCATTTATTCATCGGATCATGGCGAGATGGGCATCCTGGATGATGACTAGAGGTGATATATATGGCGTTTGTGATATCCTGGGAGGCGTCCCTGAAGTTATGGTAATTCGAAATGTCCAAGGGAAGCCGACAAGGGAGATTTATATATACAAAGAACCGCCGAATTGATAGACATATTCTCGTGTGAAGCTGGCCCCAGAATGGATCTAGTCTCAGCGCGGGTAGATTTCTTTCCCGCCAAAAGAGTGCGATTGAAAGAAAATGAGATAATCAAGGTCTGATGGAGGCATCATACTAAAGTCAAAAGGAAATACTTCACAATTGCCAAATGTCGTTATTCAAGTTTGACTGGCTCCCGACTCTGACACCAACGCTATGCGCAGTCACATTACCATTGCTAGATCCCTCTATCTAGGTACATTTGTTATTGCCTGTCGCGGCAAATATGAGGTCTAGACAACAAATCGTCACCAAGTCAATCTACAACTGGCTCATCAGGACATGGCTCTTGCTTCTAAGACAGAGCTCGGCTCTTTAAACCCTCATAGTTATTGTATACGCCGAGAGCCGACTCTATTTTATACAACTCAAGCCAGGCCCAACATCGAACTCGTTCGCCCACTGAATCGCACCATCCTAAAGACGTGATATAGCAGTGGTGTAAAGCAGAAGATGATACCTCCTTTGTTCGGATTTATAAGAAGTACCACTTTGGTGCAGTAATTTGGAGATGGTTCTGCCCGAACTCATTCTGCCCGAGCCGGTTCAATCCAAATTGGAACTGACCATATTGTAAGCTATCCCTCTAGATCTCAAACTGAGCAAAATCAGTATCCAAAGGCCGGAGTGAATAAAATTCATACTTGATAAGGGTTTGTCGAGGAAAGATAGAATATGCTTTATTCCGAGAGATGGCATTAATAATTGCTGTTGTATGAAGATGCGAGGAGGGCTTTATTAATGGGTACCCCTGATAATCGAGTTGTTGAACCAAATCACCCCAAAAACGAAGGCCCCCGTTATTGAGATAACGAAGGATTAGGCCCTATATTTCGTACAACACGAGTGATATGGACTTTGATATTTGGCTATGCATTTCTATTCTGAATGAATTCTATGTCCGGGAATTGTACATGGATTACTAGTAGTTTTGGTCTACGGAGTATGACACTAGCACTTCGGGATTTGTACTCATTTATCTTACTTCTTGTATGCTTTGGCTTTTACTGAATCCTCGCACTTATCTAGGTTGGCCTGACCCTCGACAATATGAGCCAGCTCCTTCTCTGCCAATCCCAAGACCAGCCGCTCCTCTCAACTAAGGTCGTTGGCCAGCTTATCGGCACTGGATCAGATGCTGTTCATAGCGTCCTTGTACGGTTCAACACCCCAATATACGCCAGCAGGCCCAATTGTGCAAGTCACATGCTCCAAGTATAATTCCTTTAACAAGCATCATAATTACATCATTATCATCACTACTATTATTGCCATCATTATCGTCACTCTTGTAGAAACATCTTCTCAATCCAATCCCGATATACCGTCGTGATCCAGTCACCAATCTTCCTCAGTACAGCAACAATAGTGTACGTGCCCAATAACGTCGTCGTATCTCCGAGTGCAAGCGGTCCCATAATCTCGATTCTGTTCCCACGCCAACATGCAAAAGACAACTTCCAGTCGTGCCCTATGATATATAGTAGTGGCAACGTGATAATGCCGTGTTGGGCAATGCGTGCAGGCACGAGCATATTCATGCGTTGATACCAAGCCGCCGTCCAGACAGAGAGCTGCAGTTCGCCGTCTTGCTGGACACTCGATGTTTTGGTTTCGATGTTGCAAGCGATGGGCGCGAACTGCAATGGAGGATAGCCGGTTTGGTTGACAGACTGGGCGTCGGAAGGCTGGGACCATACTTTATCCGCAATAGCCGATATGAGTTTTAAATCAGCTGGAGCAGCCTTTGCATTCCTCTCGTCAAGCAGTCGATGGGGCTTCCCATCGTTGAGCCACAGGGTGAGGCAGAAATCGATCATCTTATTCTCAATAACGTTCCCACCGCCGCGTCCACTCGTTGCAGCGGAGAAGGGAGACAGGATTCTTGCTGTAAGGGACGGCTCAACTTGTACGGTTGCATATGCAGCAAGCGCATGTTGCAGTAGTGGCTGATGGACCTGGATATTCCATGAAACCTCCGCTCGGGTATAGTCCTTGCAGTCTTGTGCTGTGTTGACAACATCGCGCAAGAAGTCCAGCTCATGCAATGCGACCTCGAGGGCTGACTTTGGTTTGCGAGACCTGGGAAAGGACATCTCATCTTCAGTTGCCGACTGCTGGGAAGCTACTTGTGTAGGGCGAAACCAATCATTCTTCTTTTTCGCCCGAGGAATAATTGCTTCCACGTCCTCGCGAATCTCTGATGGAAAGACTCTGATGTGATCTTCAACGATGTCGTCTATACTTGTAAATAGATCCTTAACGTCGGTTGGCAGGAATTCAGCAGGGTTGTCGCCCATGCGGACCGAGATAACAGGCAAATCGAGTACCCAAAGACCATTCGCAGACTTGACAGGGCTCCTCTTGCGTCGACCTCTGGCGCTCGACTTTTCCGAGCCCGTGACAGATGGTGACTGGCATGAGCTTCCCGAGGCCATCGAATTGGATCGTAATGGTGTAATGCTGGGTGCGTCGAAGCCTCGGAACGGAATAGGCGGTAGATGCGGTCGCGCTTGATTGATGTTTGACCGAGGTGTTTCGTCGCCCATTTCCATCTCTTCTACCCAGACGCCTTCAGAGACATCGCCAGTCTCACTACCATATTCATTTGTATAATCGAGTCGTTGTCGTTTGGTCGGGGAGCTTGCACGTTGGTTGTGGCTGCTAGAATTCGATGGTGGAGGTGTCGTCATCGGATGCCTTCTCTTGGTCGCGACGACACGAGGTTGGGGTAGTCGATTGTTTGGCTTGGTGAGCTCGGGGTTGGGAACGATGGCATCGAGCCAATCTACAACATTGCGGAAGTGATGCAAGTCGTTCATGGAAACAACATGTGCATTGAACTTGGGTGTGGTGTTGGACATTTGGAAATGCTTAGTGTGATGGAGCATGTCAAATAAGAATGCCAAGGTAGGCTAAGTTGACCAGGCGACATGATGTAAGACAGGCTAACCTTTCTGGACGCCACCCCACACTATCCCTGTCAAATGGTGAGGTACTGAAAGTTAAGAAACTTTGATTTCCAATCTGTAAAGGTCGCATTTAAAATCCACCCCGTCACTTCGAAATCGACCACCAAGAGCCACAAGATGGCCGATTCAACAACAGAACCACAAGCGTCTGCCCCGGTATTCAAGAAGCGAGGCGCAAAGGGCAAAGCAAACCTGCGAAAACGACCGGCGACGCCACCTCCCGCCGACAGCGACGACAGCGACTACTCATCGTCAGAAGACGAGTCGGGACAGCGCGTTAAGCGGCGCAAGAAGACTGTCACCGTTACAGCATCCTCAAAAGACCTGGCGGCGGGGAAGACGGATCTTCAAGCGACAGTTTATACAGCAGACCGCAATGTACCCATCACAAGTACCAATGACGCGACAAAACATAGCAACTGGTACGACGAAGACTCTCAGGATGCGCTATCAGCAAAGAACCTCCTGGGCTCAACAAGAACTGCCACAAAGGACTCGCAGCCAGATGGAACATACAAAGGACTCGCAAATCAGGCCATCTTCATCCAAAAGAACCCCGATGCGCCCAATAGAGCGAAGGGTCCCGTCAAGGCCTCCTCAAATGTCCGTACCATCACGGTCATGGACTTCAAGCCAGACGTTTGCAAAGATTACAAGAAGACTGGATTTTGTGGATTCTCGGAAAGTTGCATATTCGCCCATATACGTGAGGATGTGAAGCAAGGTTGGCAACTTGATAGAGAGTGGGAAGAAGTTACTAAAGGGAAGAAGAACCTAGGCGGCACCGTCGTTGCGAGCGCCAACCGCGACAAGAAGGTTGAGAACGCAGACGACGCCGATGACATTGCTATGCTGGAAAAGATCCCTTTTGCATGTATTATTTGCGAGGGATCATATAGAGAACCTATTCAGACAAGGTGCGGACACTACTTTTGTGAGCCATGTGCTCTTAAGAGATACAGAAAAGACCCGACATGCGCTGCATGCGGAGCTGGCACGAACGGCGTGTTCAACTCAGCGAAGAAGCTGAAGAAGCTACTGGAGAAAAAGAAAGAGCGTGAAGAGCGGAAGAAAAAGGAAGAGGAAGAGGCTCAGGAGGAGCAATGAGCATTGGGCTTGAGCTTGTAGACATGTATTTCTAAACAAAACATTCTGAAGAAGAAAAGTTACCACGATATCCCGAATAGAGCACTTGATCACTTTATATAAACTCACTGAACATGGTAATTTTGCTTTCTCTTGTCCTTGTGATCCAAGCACCAGACTGACTCTCATCTGCCCATGAGAGGCTCATGGTATACACGTGAGCAAAACTCCTGGAAGATGACGTGCATGCTGATAAGATAAGCTCAGCTCCGTACCCGCTTCAGTCAAGCTCCCCCAACTCTGAGTGACTGTTCCCCACGTCACAGCCAATGAGGGGTCCAGGCATATGCGTACACCTCCATGTGATCGCCTCACCAGTGAAGCCTATTACTCAGGCACGGTAACATATTTATTTGTCTTTCTTCATCAGTCATCCCCCCTCTCTTTTCAGGCAGACGTGACGGAGAAACGACAAATTATTTTAAAGCCTTTTTTATTCTTTTGAACTTGGCTCTGTATCCCTCCACCACCCAGCTTATACAGAATCTCAACCCCGCATATTTGCGCCCGAGTCCACCCCACGACAAGCTTATCTTTCCGACTCCCTGAACATCAACAGACATCATATCTATCGAACGGGCGAGACGAGACGAGACGAGACGAAGCCATCATGAATTACATCTACTCCACAGTCAACACCCTACGGGATCGTTATACACCCGTTTCTCACAAGTCAACCTTCCGCCAGACCGGTCAAATCACACCAGAAGAGTTCCTCGCTGCGGGCGACTACCTTGTGTACAAGTTCCCGACCTGGTCTTGGGGCGATGCCGACTCTCCCGAGCAGCGAGTGAGCCATCTTCCTCCCGGAAAACAGTTCCTCGTCACACGCAACGTTCCCTGCCATCGACGCCTAAACGATGACTTTGCAGGCGACGCGGGCCACGAGGAAGCTCTCGTGAACGACGGCGAAGACTTCAAGGGCGCCACTGGCGACGATGAGGATGGTTGGCTGAGGACTGGTGGTCTGGCTAGTTCCCAGCCACTGAAGGTCAAGGAGGTGAGGACGGTGGATGACTCCGGAAATGTCGGTGACCGAGAGGTCGTCGATGATGATGATGAAATCCCTGACATGGAGGATGAAGACGACGATGAGGCTATTATTCGCGATTCTGGCGCCGATTCCAAGAACGGGTATGTTACCAATTTTACATTCAAGGACGATCCACTAACAACTAGCAGCGCTCACCGTACATATACTCTTTACATCATGTACTCCCCCTACTACCGAACACCCCGTCTGTATCTCTCAGGCTATCTTGCCAGCGGTCAGCCGCTCCCCCCTAACGACATGACAGAGGACATTGTCGGCGACTACAAGGACAAGACAGTGACACTTGAGGACTTCCCCTTCTTCGCCAACAACATCAAGATGGCCTCTGTGCATCCCTGCAAGCACGCCTCAGTCATGAAGACACTACTCGATCGTGCCGATGCGGCTCTTCGTCTGCGTCGCGAGAAGCTCCGTGCCGGCAACAGCCAAACGCCGTCTGGTATGGAGGGTCTGGTGGACGAGATTGGAAAATTGGATGTCAAGGGCGCTCAGGAGGCAGCGGACAAGGATGAGTGGGAGGAGGTCCAGGAGACCGAGATCGATGATCAAGAGGTTGCTATCCGTGTGGATCAGTACCTAGTTGTATTCCTCAAGGTAGGTCTCTCCATCCTACGTATTATTATTCTCCGTTTCCTAACATTTTTTCTAGTTCATGGCCAGTGTGACACCTGGTATCGAGCACGATTTCACCATGGGTGTCTGATCGGGCGAATCAATTACTGAGATTAGACTTGTGGGCAAGAGATAGTTATGAAAGTATGGACTGGGAATCACTATATCAGGAGAATAGGCGTTGGCGGTGTTCGATTGTTTAGATCTTCTATGGTAGCTATTGTATTCAGACAATGCAGATTCTTTCACTTCCAGCATGAATACAAGGAAGCCACGGGTTTATGTGCCTGCCTTAGAGGCTTAAAATTTCCACAAAAGACAAGTTGGATAGCGATGATATAAGGATGCTATCGTCGATTGATGTTATGTGATTGACTACAGAACCCCCTCGCCGGGCTAGGTTGATATCCCACAAGGGGCTGAAAGAGAAACTTGACATGCAGTCGTTGTATAAGCTTAGGGCCTATCCTAAATGATAAAAAGATATGATTTAATTTAATATAATTTGGTATAAATTGCTATAAGCTGTAGTAAAGCTTAGATTAGGTAGGATTGGTATCTTCTGACACCTTCTAGATGAGGAAAGAGAACACGAGACCTCCATCCGAAGTGACAAAAAGACTTAGGTAACTTGACATAAGTTTAGGACAAGTTTAGGATACCTTTTGCTGAGATTATTCTAACACCTTCTTGCTCCTCGCGGCCTAATGTAGTAAAACTGTCCACCCGCTTTCATTTTTCTTCCTAGTAGTCGTGTCTTTCCATACGAGAACAAGTTTTACCCGATGATCATATGCCAGAAGTCCAAAGCGTGAGTGATGAGCTGCGCTTTTACGAGGTAGTAGCCTGACTAGAATAAATAAGTTCTAATTAGAGAATGAAGTCTTAATAATTCTGATTGAGGAACTTACCATAATGCCAGAAAATGAACCTAGGGCGTGGAATGAATTCTAGCTCAGCATCCTCCTGTACCAGGGCAAATTGGCTGCTAATTGTAAGCTATTATGTATAGTAATAATAGAAGGGACTTACCATTGACATCTTTGGCTATACGCCTGTAGTATGCGTGTCGCGATATTTGGTCCTCAGAGGGGAGTCGGCCACCATCTCGAGAGTCTTTGGGAGGTGGTGATCGAAGTCGGGGTTGCCTCTTGCGAAACAGGGAAAAGAAAAGACGCGGTAGAGGAAGTAAAAGTCGTAACAAGGTCTCCGTTGGTGAACCAGCGGAGGGAAGCGTGTCTTTACTGGTGTCTGGGAGTTTGTCTCGATAAAAGAGTGATAGAATCTGAAAGATGATCTTACTGCTGATGATGGAAATGTGGTTGTAGGGTCGAAGAAGGAAAGGAATCTACGCTAGGTACCTAGGCAGGTACATTCTGACATTGAACAATGTGGCTACGGGCAAGCCGACCGCCACCTTCATTTGAAGAAAGCAAGGCTCTTTCGATTAAAGCTGGAATGCTCGGTGTGACAAATCTACACTTTGTACAACAATAGCTTAACACAAATCAGCATGTTATTATTTACACATAATGTTTATATCTGTCAGTACGTGGGGCGGTCCCTCTTAAAACGTTGAACTATGTATAAGGTGTTAAAAAAGTACCTAATCTAAGCCCCCCCAAAATTTATGGCAAATTATCCTAAATTAAACTAAATCAATATGTATTCTTGTCATTGAGGATAGAGGTCAGCTTGTACACCGATTGCGTGTCAAGTTTCTCCTTCAGCCTCTTGCGGCATATCAAGCAGCTTGCGTGCCAACCTACTTGAACGTGTCAGCCTGATGACTGTCACATTTTTAACGTTCTAATGATATACAACTTGTCACCCAGTATGTCATGACTCAGAAGATAAGGAATATTGGTCGAGCCTTTGAACAGAAGGGCCTGCCCAAGAAGATCGCGAAAAACAAGTCACAACAGAGATACCGAACCGATGAAAAAAGAATTCCTTGTTGCCCACAGGCGATTCTCTTGATATCTACTGATGAATGTATCCTCAACTCCCTTTGCTGCAGCCCAGATCTTCATGTTGTTCCACGAGACCCGGGAGATGAAGCCTTGCTCCAGACAACTCC